TTGATTAGTGTATAACTTCACCAAATAAAAGGAGCAATCAAGCACTCCATTTTTGTTAGTGAGTTTACTATGCAAGTCATATTAATTCCTGCGGAAAACCTTTAATTCTATGGATTTTGTTAATAAATATCATATTCTCTTGAGCCAATGTGTTTAAATGCAAACATTAAGACAGATTATCTTGTAGTCTGTAGTGTGTAAAACAATTTGCCCTCAGTAGGTGGGCTGTTCTGTATTGTTGCTGTTTTCATGTACCATTCTTTTACTCCAAAGAAACACAGCTCACCACTTTGAAGAGATTAGCTTACAGAAATATTTATTATAGGAACAGTGATTAACTTTTTGTTCCAAGACAGGTATAAGCACCCTCTAATCTATACCATATTCCTTCAAGCTAAACTGTTCCCAAGTTCAAACATAATACCCATTTTTCTCTTTCATTATTAAACCCCAAAAGTATTTCAACCCTAAACTGCTTAAATATTAGCAGCACTTAATTATTCTATCTCTTTCAAACATTTTTCCAGTTCTGGGATGGAAATGTGAAATTTTTTTGCTGCTGAAGTCATAGCTGGCATGCTGAAGTCATATTTGCTGGCATGGGCCTAGCTTACCGTGAGACAGTGTTCACAAAGCCTTACAATGTCTACCATGAAAATCCTCAAACTACATTTATATGTTTCAAAACCATGACCAAAACATTTAATAGATATTGGGGGCTTAATGGATAAGCTGAGCAATTTTTTCTTCTCCTTCCCTCTGAATGGGTGGGGTGGAACATCCTCTTCAGGTATGAACAGCTACACAGATTTCAGGGGAGCCACTCTTTGTCTGCCCATGCTAAGAAGTGTGGATCTGTCTGTGTTATGAAGGACTAATTCTATTTGAATACCAGGATGAATGAAAATGGAATTTGGCCCTGCAACTGTAAATAACTCAATGTATACAGATGTCATCTGAACCCCACTCTCAGAAACATAGAAACTTTCAGTGGCAGTCAAGGAGCTTGGATCAGATCCCTTATTCTCTGAGCTATTGCATGTCATGTCCCCTCTGCTTCCCAGACTGCAGTTTATATGTGACAACCCTTGACTTCTGGATAGAGAGAGTCCCATTGTTTTCCACCTCTCCCAGACTTTTTCTCAACACAGTCCATTTCCCTAGCAGAATTAATTCCAGCTTTGTTCTATAAATGATAGTCTCTTTCCTTAGTCACTCTAGGCATTGAGCCAATGTATTCAGACTAAACAGAGGATATTAATTTTACTTTAGCATGTATATATTGCACAAAAGCTGTGATGCACAAGGGTTTACTTCCAAGAACTAGAGTGAGACCATTGTGTAAGTTTTCAAATTTGAACGTCAGAGATAACTTGATGAGGGAATTGGAGACACTTAACAGGAAATCTTCTAAGATTTTCTGCTTTTAATGACTAAATACCACAAGAAAGTGGGCTGTGAAGTATGAGTCCTTCACCTGAAGAACTGGATGAGATCAAATAAACCTTAAACTATCACCTTTTGATATTCCGCCTGCCGGTGGTTTCCAGGAGTGGATTGCAGGAAGATGTTGAGCTCTGTCCTGAGAGCTTGGGACATTTTGCAACAGAGAGGGAGAAGACAGCAGCTGCTAGCCATTTGTTTAAATATGGTTATGATATTGGGAAGAGTGAAGCTCACCTTTCTCAGGTCATGGAAATAGCCTTGTGACCAGTGCAACCAGCCAGTCTCTGCTGCCTGGGGAACCTGGGTGCTGGTAAATGCTTGCTAAGAGCTGGCAGTCCAGTCAGTGGATCTAATTTAGCAAATTGTGTTATGAACTCCCCTTTGCTTTAGGGGAGAATAGTAGGGATGTTACTCAGGCATAACTTCAGTAGCTCAAATAATAAACATTTCCTTGAGGCTGAGAGCTTCCCACTGGATTCTCTTGAATAAAGGCATGAAACGCTTACCAGGTCCCTGGACAAAAGGAAGTCTAATATACCTTATATTTATGGGACTGATCAGTTTTCTTTAATTGCTATGGGGTTTTATTGTTCTGCCTCAGCAGAGCTGTACAGACTATCTCTCACAAAGGCATGAGAAATGTAGTCCTGGGCACCCACAACTCCTTGCCACTGTTATCAGCTAATTAACAGCACAAAGAAATAACAAACCTTAGCCCAAAAGGCATCAATGAAGGGAATGCTTACAGAGCTGATGAGGCTGACTGCTAGAGAAAGTACAATTTAATCCAGTTTAAATCATTTTTATCCAACTTAAAGAACATTTACTTCCTGGAAGACAGAACAGTAATGTCCAAGATGTTATGTGTACACTTGCAAGGACACATCTGTTGGTATATTTGGGGAGCTGTTCTGGCTTAACTGACCAGCTGTGCAGGAAATAAATATGGGATGTTCCTAGAGACAATTTGTGCCATGTGTAGGGCTGATTAGTAATGAGAAAAACCCCAAAGTCTTTCAGACCCAAGCTGAATTCAGTGTTCATGGAGGCCAGCCTGCTGGAAGTGGGGTGAGTCTGAACTTGGAGGTGAGAGAGGAAAATTAGCAAGTGTGTCCAGCTGTCCACATGTGTTTAATAGAACCACAAAGGAAAGAGATACATTTTCTACAACCAGGTTCATCTGGGATAAAGCAAGATCCCTACTCTTCCTGAACCTTGCAGGTTTCACTTCAGGCACATTCAGCTGAGCTGCCAAGCAGCAACTTGTACAGTTCCCATCTACCTGGAAGTGTTGATGATGCTGGCAGAGGCTCTGGGGATTGACATCAGGAACTAAAGTGACACCTTCTAAAAGTGAAGACATAACCCTTTGGTGACAAGTCCCCGAGATCCTTGAGTTAACTGGATAGATTTTCATGTCATAATGTCAGCTGGATATTTCAGAAATGTAGGAAGTGTGAACTGGAGAGGCAAGGCTCTTTCCTCTTTGCCCTTTTTGATACAGCTCATTGGTTTTCCCCTCTTCACAGCCTCTCCCCCTCTCAAGGGCCCTGCTCCTTCTTTTGTCTTTCTGCAACAGAGTCTCATCTCCTGCCTTGCCACTGAGACATTTCTCCTTTACCCATCATCTCCTGTCCCTTCACCCCTGGTTTGTCGCTGATCTCCACCCATTGCCCAGTGTCCTCATGAACCCAGGACCACATAGGCATGTCCCACTAGTTTCAGGAATTGCTCTATTAGTTCATGTCTGAACATTTTGCCCTCTCTGAAGAGGCATAACACGATGTGAGTCAGTCTTGCGGAAAATCAGTCTTACTCGTCAGATCTTTGCTTAGGTCCTTTGGTGAGAGATTGGTGCATTTCTTAAAAATATATTATTAGAACATGGAGAATCTTGCTTCTCTGTGGATAATGATGTAATGTATGCAGCTGTCTGGCTTAATCCAGGGCAAAGCTAAGGGAGAGTTTTTATGGACAGTACTACCCATATTCTGGAAATGGAAAGCCAGAGTAAAATAATGGTTTTTACTTGTCTCAATGTGACACAGCTGATTTCCTCTTCATGCTACCATGCAGATGCAAACAGGGTTCATAAACTTGCTGTGGCCTCTTTTCAGCTCTGTCCTTGTCATGGACCTCTGGATGCTTTCATCTTTTGATAAGCTTCATTTAATCCATAGAGATCAGAGAGAAGAGTTGTAGGGTTCAACCACCAATTGTGGACCTGTGCTGAGGAGCCCACAGCATGGCACAAGCTGCTTCTGCAGTCTTTCCTCATGGGCTCTCTCTGTTTCCATGAACTGAATGAACTCAATGAAATTAACATTTTTCCCATAATGGTATATTCCCATCTGTTTTTGTGGGACCAGCCTGGAAAGTATTTCCCATAGCTTCAGTAACTAACTACTTGTATATTCACCACTACTAGTTCATAGCGCTGCTCTCCAGAGTCTTTGAGAGAGGAGCCTGATGCTGCACCTATATCAGCCTTTCCCCACCTCAGGTTTCCCATCCCTTTCAGTAGCATGCAATGGAGCAGACCACTGCTCACCTGACCAGGTAAATATTGACAAGAGAGTGATACAATTGCAGTGGTTGCTGCTGGTCTACCCTGTTGTCCCTCCAGTTAGTTCTGAGGCAAGGTTCTAGGTACTGTATTCAAGGTGTCTGGCTGCAGTACCTGTGCTGTGCTAGAAAACAGGAACAGCAGTGTTAAACTGCCCTGACAGAGCTGAAGGCACAGCAAATTCTACATTTGAAGCTCCTCTTATTAGTTGCAAAAGTATTTACAAAGTTGAATGACAAGACTTCTTTCTCATATTCTCTATTAATCATCCTGATAGTTTTAGGACAGACTGCTGCATCTGTAGAGAGTCCTGCCAGAGTATATCGAGCTCTGTGAAATCAGAAGTTTGTGGGCAACCAGTTCAGGTGTTATGAGGGAATGCTAGGCTTGGTGCTGAGGTTGTCCAAAAGTATGCAGACATCACCCAAGCATGTGGTACCCAGACCTGAAAGCAAAGGGCTGCTTATGAGGAAGAACAACCAAAGACCTGGCATCTCCTTGTAGAAGTACTTGGAGGTTGTGAGTGAGGATTTCAGAATTCAGGTTTGGGCTAACTGGTACTAACTGGCTGCTAAACCCCAACAAACTTTTGTGAGAACCAAATGTGTGCAGAATCAGTTCAGCTCACTACAGTGGGAAGAGTAATAGAGGTAGAAAGTGTATGAATGTTTCTACAATGAACACCCTGATAATAGTTAAGTAGATGAAAGCTGATGCAATGAGTATGTGAAGGTGTGTCATAATTTGCAGGGATATTTAACCAAAAGGAAGGGATTTTTCAGACAAATAGGAAAATGTCCATTCTTTTGGAGTACAGTTTGGAAAAAAGAAAGGGTATAGAAAAGTATGAAAGTATCTGCTCTCAGTAATGACATTTGTGGCCATTTCTCTTAGTCCAACTCAATTTTCTGGCACACTGATTTGATACAAATGTACAACAGCTTTCATTTTCATTCGTTGAGCAAACACGAAGGAATACCAGTCCTAATTTGAGTTCAGCTCCATCGTATTTTTCAGTTGTATCAAAATACAGTAGTTGTAGAACACTTGGCAATACTTTGTGAACTGCAGTATTTATGCTCTGCCTTTAGAAGAGGTTTGGAGTTTTTCTTTCTCAGTCTCAGCTAGGACTGTCTGTAGCATGTTGGTGTTTTTTCTTCTACTGCCATCATATTGATGTTGCCCAAAATGTTCTGCAAAGATAGATGGACACATATTACCTTGGAATTGGCATTGGAAAACATATGCCATTTAGTTTGTTTCCTGACTGGTAGCATTGGTGCAGCCAGGAACAAAACTTTTACTCAGAAAAGGTGATGTATTAATATACAGCAATAGTGTTGTGCATTCAGTTAGGTCCTTCTCATGTGAACTTCAAAGACCTTTGCATTGATGAAAATGTGATCTGTCTACAAATGCAGTCATTATTTTACATAAGTTAATTGTTACAACCACTTTTCCCATTGAGGAAGGAGGGAAAGGTGAAGGGAAAAGTTCTGTCAGGATTTGTGACACAAAGGTGGTAGATTCACATGTTCACCCTGTACAAACAAGCAGCAAAAAAACCCAGATGCAAATAATCTTGTGGCCATGTCAAGCTCCTTATAGTCACTTCTCTCTCTAGGCTGAAAATAAATCCCATGGCTGCTTCATGCAGAGGAAAGAGATACCTTTCTCATCATCAGATCAAAAGATGATAAGTTATGAGATGTTGAAGTGCAAAAGGAAGTAACATCTACTTTTCTACTAGTATGACCATTGCTATGCATGGAGTGGGACAAGGCCATTTAAAACACTGCAAAAAATGAAAATGTGTATTTTCTTAACAAATAGCTTCTAGGGAGGAGATGCTAAATATATCTGGTGTGATGAGAATGGTGGGAAAGTTGGAAGTGCCTGTGAGGAAGAATGCTTGATGCAAACATAATGTGCTTTGCCCTGACAAGGTCTTGCACTGAATTTTGTTGTCTCATTTGTGAGGCAGAGGATCCCTCAGTGCCAGTCTGCAGTGAAAGTGATGCAAAGGCCTCACTCATCTGGCCTCTCTCAAAACTTCCCAGAAAGCATCAGTGATTTAAATTATATAATTTTTGAGAGAGGATAAAGAAAAGGAAAGGGAGTAGGTAGGTAGAGAATCTGATAATGGACAGAGGACATTCCACTGACTCTTTTATAATATCATACAACAGCTTTTCTGCAGGTTGCATTTCACAGAAAACAAGGCATTTTTATGAGGAGAAAATGTTCAATTTGCAATCTCTTAGAGACTCCTTCAATAATCATGGGTATGGTCTTGGCTCTAAAACAATCCTGAAACAATACCCTTATTACCCTTATCTAACAACTGAGATAAAGAAGTAAGAGCATCTGCAGGGGTCTGGACTCTTGTAAATGCTATGATGTGTCTGTGCCACCAACAGGCCAGTGTGAGTGAGCTTGACACTGGTCTGTTGTTTATTCTGGACTTCATTTCTGGATTTCAAGTTTCTGGTGGCCTTTGTTCAGATTCCCAAGCACAGAATTATTGTAAAATAAAGAAGACGCCAAACTTGGAGTTGGAAGAGGAATCTCTGGCACTGTTTGAAACATATAAAAGCATGAGGTTTGGCTAACCTTGCTGAGATGCTGTTGCACAATTGTGTATGTCAAAGATCAGTAATTAGTCCTCATGCAGATCCTGCTGTCTTGGTGGTCTTAAGAAAAACATATATTTTTAAGTCACAGTGGGTTTTAATGCCAAAGAATAACTATTTTATTATTCAGATAATGCTACTGCTACTCACTTTCAACTTGAATGAATGTTGGCAGGCACAGTCAAGTTTCTTGCAGATCTTTATGATGTCTGTCAGCTGTGGAGTCATAATATCACAATCACAATGCAGTGAGTGATTCCTTGACTTAAATATTACTGCCCTTTCTCTTTAGGAATGGAACTACTTAAAACACCCTTCTCATGTAGAGAGGTGTTGTTACTTTACAGAAGAGTAATTGAAGCATCATAGGTTTGAGTCACAGCCTTCAGAAGTGGTCAGTTATCTGTGTTTCAAAGATTGAATGTTATGCACAGATGGTCACATAAGTTTTTTCTGGTAGACTGGGGAACAGAACCCTGGCACACCAGGCTGTGGCCATGAAAGCGCTTTTCCAATAGTACTACAATGTTCCCAGAAGGCTATATCTTTTTAGTAGCTATTTTCCCATTCTGTCATGAAGAATATTCCCAAAAGTGCAACATTGACACCTGTTCAGAAGTAATTAATGTAAAAAAGTCTCATTGAGGAATCCCTGGAAATCCCTGAAGAACCTCAAACTGTTAAAGCTCTTCCAAAGGTTTGTTTTTGATAATATACATTCTTAAACCTGAAGTAAACAGAATACATATCTGACAAAATTACTTTGTTGTCCTCATTACTATACAAAAAGAGGAGAATGTTGTATCAAAAAAGAAAACTTTAATTTATTGATGGTGCAAGTTTATCGTGTCATTGCCTATTTCCAAGTGGACAGGCTGTTGTGAGCAGCAGAGTGCTCCACTAAGAAATATGAGCATCTCCAGTGGGTGATTTGGACTTTAAATGGCCAAATGCTAAGTTCCTTTTCTCTACAGAATTCTCAAATTCCTAATTTAATTGCAAAAGAGTAAATAGAATGAAATTTCCACTTAAAATTATGTTTTAAAAGGTATTCTGTCTTACTTATTATTTACTTACTTAGTACAGTCCAATATTTGTCACTGGTGTATATGAGAACAATATTCTCTGTCACACATAGATAAACCCATGTTCTCCCTAACCTGATTAAAATTGTGGGTCATCAAATATTACAGAGATGTGGGATGCAGAAGTGTTCCAATTTAGCCCCAAATCTTCTTTGAAGTCATTTGAATCCCCTGAGTACCTCCATTTCTCATATAACTGACGTCCTTAACTGCTTAATACTGCAAATTATTTAAAATCAGACATGCAATTATGTTATTAGAAGACTTGGAGTTATTCAGACACAAATGTGTGCCTAAAAATTATAGTGAAAAGATGAAAATGAAATAATTAAAAAAATAGATTTTAAAGCAAAGTAAAATATTAAAAATTAGCACCAAAAAATGCACAGAGAAAATGTTGGGTAATTATCACTCCACAAAGCTTGCTTAAATCAAATCTGTTTGATTTAACTGATTGTTTTAAAATTAATGACAATTAAAGAGAGTATGAAAAGCAGAAATGGAAAGAGTGGGAAAAGCAGGAGATACAGTGGAGCAATGTCTATATTAGCATGGAGTAGAGTCCTCTTGGGACAGAAATGGGTGAAACAGGGTGAAATAGTTGGTGTTGAAGATCTGATATCTACACTTGGTTGCATTTAGAAGAGTTTTGTGACATTTGTTATAGTTTTTCCCCACAGCACACAGATTGATCAGAGCAGATCATTCCAGAACAATCTCTTCCAGCCCATCCCTAAAAGAACAGGCTTTGGGTCACTCCACCTGAGGCTGCTGTATGAGGTAATGATGAGATTTGCATCAAATGTATAAATCTGTTACAACATGAAATATTAATGTGACTAATGTGACATGCAGGCTTGCAACACAGAATGTCTTAATGGAAAGGTAATTTCTGTGCTTTATCTCAAAACCCTGGTGCCAGCTTTATGAGGAGATTGTAGCAGAAGAATGAGTCTGTTCTATTTCAGAGCTACACAGCAATGGTAAAGCTGTGCTCTTACTAAACCATTACCACAAAGAACACTTAAACCAAAGTACTTCGAAAATCCCCCTGCAGATCTTCAGTAATACCAAATCTTTTACTGAAGAGAGGCCGAGATTCTCCTCAGACCACAGAATTTTCTGGGGAATTTGCAAATAAAAACACATCAAATGAGGATAAAAATGAGATCTTTTTGGAACCATCTTAGTCTGGGTCCCCTTCCCCAAGAAAATGCACAATGTAAAAGATGAGAAAGCACTGCCCTTGGGATCCACCTTTTCAGAGAGTACACCTCTTAAAAACCCCAATAAACCTCAAGGCAAGGTTTGTTTTGATCCTTCAATGTTTAAAGCTTACTGTGACCTCTAGGCTGGGTTACAGCTGGGACATGAGACCCTCAATACTGCTGTCAGTACTACAAGAGCTGTTACAGAGAAGGGAACAGGGCTGCTCAAACTCTGCCAGCAAATACAGCACAAGGTTGTTCTTGTATGTGCCAGCATTTATTCTCACAGTGGAGAATCCTTGAGTAGGATTGGAAGGGACCCTGAGAGGATACCTAGTCCATACACCTCTCTTTCTTTCCCTTTCTTGCTTTATTGCTTTGTTCACTTCAGCTGTTCCACCAGGATATGCCAGTCTGTGCAACCTTTGCCACAGGAAAGCAGGTTGCTGCTCTGGGTTAATTTAGGCCTGGCTCCTAATTTCGGCCTGCTGATGAGAGATCACTCTTTGTTTTAGTCAGCTGAGGTTCCCTTCCCAACCTGTGGCTGCAGTGTGCAGCTGAGGTGGTCACACAGATTCCGTGTCCTGACAAGAACTCCAAGGCTGACTCCTCGGATTTGCCCTGCAGGCGGTTCAGCGTGGAGAGAGGAACACAGGCAAGGGCTGGAGGTGGGAGCAGCAGGTGGGAGCTGGACAGGAGAGTCTCCAGTGTACACCTGTGACCCGACCTCAGCCAAGCCACATCCTTTTGTTAAATCTTCCCTGGCTTGGTACGGCCCTTCCATTGATATCCAAACATTTTTTGTTGATGGGAAATTTTAAATGGATAGAAATTTTAAATGGATAGCCTCAGATACCTTCAAAGGATGTTTGTATTTTACTTCAGAATACTTTCAGTTGTGAGGATTAGGTGGGTAAATTGCTTTTACCAGAGCATTGGCATGGTGTGTTGCTGAAATTCATGCTCTTGGGGCAGGGGTACAAAGGTAGTCAGGTGTGTAACAGCACACACCTGGGGAAAGCTGGTGGCACTTTGCCTCCTGCACTGGCTAGGCAGTTTTGCAGACTCCACTTGCTTCATCTCCCTATTTGGGCCCCCAACTGCCCCTGCACAGCTGGCCCACACTGGCTGGCAGTCTATGAACTAATATCATTGACGTTTATTGACTGGAAGCCTTTGAATATTCTGTTTGTGTGGAGTTTATTTGAGCAATACAAATCCCTATTTGGCAGGCAGTTTGAGTTCCCTCTAAAGAGGCTTGTCTGTATTTGATAGTTTTGCCACTTTAACTACAGTGGTATAATTGAAACAGCAACACAGAAAATACTCAAGGGAACAGGCAATTATACTGGTGGCAAATTGTTTATATTGGCCTAGCATATTACAGAACAAAATGAGCTACACCAAAATGATGACGTTTTCTATCAGTTTCTGTCAACATATTACTCTAAGCAAGGGTTTTATCCACGTATATTGCCTGGCTCAAGTTCTCTTTCTGACAGTTTTAGGCATGCTGGAATAATATAAATGCTTTCAAATTTAATAGAGTTCCAAAGTGAGTAATATTTTCTCCTCCTCCCCCAAAATCTCCATGTCTAAATACTCTGTTGATACCTGCTTGGGGTAGAGATCTTTTTTCATAGATCCCTTTGACTCCACATAGTGTAAGTGATGCTGTGAGCTCACTGTGATGTGTATGAAGGTAAAGAGTGGCTCTTCCTTCTTATCTCAGTTGCTTTGATGGCATTGGGAAGATAAAGAACATGCTGTTGCTTTTGATGGGGGGAAAATAAGGAATTAGCAACAGCAACTCTATTACCCAAACCTTCGCCTGCAAACTACTTTGAACAGGTCTTTGGGTTGCTTTGATTATTTTTTGTTTCTTTTCATCTGCTTGACTGGTCAAATGTCTGGAATAGCTAGAAGATGTCAAAGAAAGAAACAGAAAGAAGAACAGACATCTTAAGCATAAGATTTTGGTTGCCTGGATTTGTGACATGCAGTGAATGAGCCTGTCTCAGTCGTCCTGTCACCTCCTGAAACCTGACATCTTCCTGAGAGGCTGGTGGAGACAAGCTGGCAGCAAGGGGAGGGATGACAGTGGCTTACACAGGTTTGTAGGCATCAGACCAGAAAAGCAGGGCAGGACCCAGGGCTGGCTGCTTCAGCTCCCACCCAGCAGCACTTTGGGCTGGGTGTAAATTGAAGCCCTTGGCTCACCACGTTTAGCTTGTGGCTACTTCAGTAGTTCCCAGCACAGTTGGCCTGGCCCCAACAGATCCCTCTACAGGTATTTAATTCTCCCCATGCACTCACCAGAGAGTCAGATATAGTGGAGCCAGGGTGCACAGCACTGGGAATCCCCCTAGGCATTGACTCATCAGGTTTATACATTGTTGTGTTCTACCAGGTGATACCTAAATCCATTAAAAATTCAATCTTGCCTTCTTCTGGATGCCTAGATCCTTTCTTTCAAAGGGCTGTTGGCTTCTAAACCACTTATGGTCTTCAGTGCTTCTCATCCATCATCCCTTGCTAAGCTGAAGATGCCACATCTGTTTACAAAATGTTGAAAGGAGGAACTGAGGAGCTGGCCTGAAAGGCCTCCTGTGTGCTTTTAGCCAGCACTTCTCTCTGTAGATTGCAAAAGGTTTTATAGCTCCTTTTCCCCTTTTTTCTTTACTTCCATTCATTCTTTCTACAGCTCCTTGCTCTTTCCCCTTAGATAACCGTGGTCACATACCAGATTAAACCTAAAACTGCAAGTTTGGGGTTTTCTTGTCTTTATCTTCTATGCACCACACAAGTGCACCAAGCAATAAATTATTCTTAAAATTTTCTCTGCCCATAGCATGAGATGGTCTTCATTCCACCAGTGGTATTTTACCTGCAG